GCAGTATCTTAATGGTTAAAACGGGGCCGGGGGAGGGGAGAACATAAATTCAATGAGCCCAAGCAGAGATTCATTAAACACTCTGCTGTGAGCTAAAAATACTAGAATAAAAGTCTCTTTGTAATAAATTACCATCATTTTCTAAACACAGAGCCAGCATTATAGGCTGCTAGCAACTGTAGCTACTGCCAGACTAGCCCTTTTCTAAAATGCTGCATAAAAAAACTCACTTTCACAGTATAAGAAGTCCTCTGTCAATGAGTATATTAAAATAAAAATATGCTGATTCAGATGCAAAAATTGGATTTTTTTCCACTTTAATATTATTATCTTTATATTCTATATCTACATATTCTAGGGTTTGGATTTTTTTGGCTTATAGAAGTAAAGCACAAGACAGCTCATCTACTGACATTTTTATACAATTTGCTATTTGTAGTTCTCCATTTACTACCCTTGTCATTCTCACAGCCAGCTCTTCCCTCAGCTTCTGTGTTAAATCAGAGAGGACATGGACAAAGTACAGGGAATTTAGTCAGCAATTAGGGAAAAAAATAATCCAGGAAGGCTGTGGGAGTTGTGTTCTTGGAGATCTTCAAACCTCAACTGCACATGACCCTGAACAACCTGATCTAAGGCTGTCTAGTCCCACTTTGAGCTGGGGGACTGGACCAGATAACCTCCCAACTTAAACCATTCTCAGAGTAGAATAAATTTTAGGAAGCTCAGGACAATTTTTTTCAACCAACTGAAATATGCACCTTAGGTGTACTTTTGATCAGTTAGACATATATTCTGAGCAACTCCTTAACCAAAGAAACAAAATTTTATCCTCACAAGATTTATGTGTTACTGTCTAGAGCTCTTTTTGGGATGTAAAACCACGCATTGCTCTTCAAACAAAGAACTCACATTGAATGGTGCAGTTACCTGACTAAACGGCAAGTAGGACCCAAGTTTGCCAACATCCATTTACACATTTAAACTCCTTAATACTCCTACCAATTTCCGTTAGGAAACCTCGTGGCTGCAAGATCAGAAACTAAACTCTGAATGCATGCACAGCATTTCAGTGCTGCATATTCTCTTCTAGGGCTACATCTCATCCATTCAAAAGGCAAAAGTCTTGACTTCCAGATTTAAAGGACCAGAACATCACAGTTAAAGTCACTGTGAGACACAAAGGATTTGCATGAAATACTAGCCTCAAGATGAAGAATGTATTTGCAAGCATGGAAGAAGGAAGAGGTAGTAAGTAATGAGAGAGAAGTTTTTTTAAAAAAATCAAACAAACAAACTAACAAAAAACAACAAAGTAATTCCTAGCAGACTGCCTTCTTGTTTGATCACAAGTCTCCATCAAGCCCAGGCTGCCAGATTTCACAAACAGTATCAATGATGTTACTGCTGATCTACACTGGTTCCAGCAACAAGGAAGCAGCTCTTTGCATCACTGTGTTTCTGAAAGGTGAGACAAAGATTAAGAAATCACTTTCTTCTACATGATAGAAGAAAGCCTACAAACATTTGAGAAGGGATAGCGGGGAGGTAGGGGAAGGACTCTTTACATTAGTGATGGGTGATAGAACAAGAGGAAATGGGTACAAGCTTAGTCAGGGGAGATTCAGGTTGGATATTAGGAAGTATTTCTCCTCTGAAAGGGTTGTCAGCCACTGGAATAGGCTGCCCAGAGAGGTGGTTGAGTCCCCATCCCTGGATGTGTTTAAGAATAGGGTGGATGATCTACTTAGGGATATGGTTTAATGGGGATTAGGGATGGTTGGACTCGATGATCTCTGAGGTCTTTTCCAACCTAGAAATCTATGAAATCTATGATAGTTAAATCACCACTGGGAAGTTATTCTCCTCTAACTGCTTTTCCTAGCAATCTTTTTGGAAGCTTTTATTTAAATAGTTTTTACTGAAGTAATCACCTAAGTGGTGATTAATCATTAATTAATTGATTGATTAATTGATTGATTGATTAATTGATTAATTAAGTAGTAATCACCTAAGTGGTGGATGCTCCATCCCTGGAGACGTTCAAGGCCAGGTTGGACAAGGCCCTGAGCAACCTGATCTAGTTGGAGATATCCCTGTTCCTTGCAGGGGGGTTGGACTAGATGACCTTTGAAGGTCCCTTCCAGCCCTAACCATTCTATGATTCTATGATTCTAAGTAAAAGAGCATGCAGAAGAGTATGTGTTTATCAGCCATAGTTTTCACACCTCTCAGTTTCCAGTCAAAAACAAGCTCACACTTCCTTCACATATATACCTGGAACTTAAAAGTTCGGCAGGTTTTATATTCCACTTTCAAGATTAGCCAGATTCTGTTTACAGCTCACATCCTTCGCTACAGATGCACAGGAAAGTTATAGTGATGCAGTTGTTACATATTCGAATTGCATTGTCACTTTGCATCAGTAGCCCTACTTTACTTTTCTAAGGAAGGAAAACTAATTTTATCCTTTCTAGAAAAGGGAGTTTTTCAGCACCAAAAAAAAAAATATATATATAAGACTTGGGAGTGTGGTCAGTCCAGCCTTTTGCTTTTGTATGGCTTATTCTTTCCTTAGTCTATACTGTTCGCCTTTGCTAACTGCTGAATAAGCTTAGTCATCCACTATACACACAAGAGTGTCTTATGATACAAAAACATTGAAAATAAGACAACAAGGCCAAACTCTGAAATGAGCAAGCAGTCTCTCTTGCAGAGGACACCAAGTGTAAAACAATGCAGACAACTATCTGTTGCTGTGCCTTGAGAACATCTGAAAAATCTCCATAGAGGGTTTTTCATTCTCATAAACAGAATGAAAGCATCTTTTTACAACAGACATCTGCCATTAGCAGGCTGGCCATCCTGGAAACGAGTCATGCAAGAGTCACAGCATACACACAAAAAAAGCATGTTGCCTGTAGACACTTTCAAAAGGGCATTAACTTGATAAACAAGAACAAACCTACTGCTTTGCACCAAGGCTACAGCTAACTTTTTCCAGCCTAAGAAACAGCAGTTTTAGTCAAATTGGCATCCAGTGTCGCGCTTCAAGTTCTGTTTCAGTCTCAGAAGCAAGTTTGCACAGTTCTCAGTAATTTTAGGAAAGTCAGGAACAGTGCTGTGAGGACAAGTATCCTTGTTCAATGAACAAGGCCAGTGTTTTAGAACAAGACTTCTATTATACGCATCTATATGAAAATCTATACTTTATGACAGTACGCAAAAATAGCATTCCTGTTCAGAAGATAGAAAAAAAACATCTAAGCACAGGGGCTTGATTTCAATCAGACCTCTGCTAACTTCAGTCCTGTTACTGCCATTGATGGGATGAGAACGTGGCTGGCTGTATTAAACCTGGAAGATTTACGTAACTGCTAACGATCCACTCCGACAGATTGACAAAAAAAAAAATCAATGCTGAAAATATTTCCCTGGGGAAAAAAAAATAAATCCAGCATTTTTTTCAGCTACAAAAAATAAGAGCTGATCTTCCCCTGAAGAAACCACGATAGCCTCCTCCAGGTTATAAATGATGCAATTCAGACTGTGTGTGGGAAGCTGAAAACATTTGTCTTTTAGCACAAGGTGTCTATTTTAAAGCTGTCACTGCAATATTATCTGTAACCTTAATTAGCTGAGAAAGTTCTTCACCAGTTAAACTGCTACATTCACACGCAGTCTACACCCCCTTACCATCCATGTCCTCCACGTCAGCTTTTGGATATACCCGTGATGAAGTACACAACCTCGCACGGGGCAAAGCTCCTCTGTTGCAGCACGAGAGCCAAATGCTACAGGTTGTGTTTGCTACATCAGCTGAGCTACCTGTGAAAGTTATTCACACACCAGCTACTTCAGAAGATTCATTTGCAGCCTTCTACATGAGCTTTTGGCTGTACTTGCACTTTGGCTGTTACTACAAACTCTGTATGCTTTGTTAAAAAGAGATAGTTCTGATTTCATGCTCAGATTATCAAATGAAGTTTATATAAATAACTTGTAACGTATGAAGCCATAAAACCATAATATAGAGGCAGGCTGTTCGAACAATGTTAGGTGTTCATTAGCCACTGCACTACCTAGTTGTATCTTCAGAGAGTGCCTTGCAAAAGGGAAAACAAAAAACTTTGTACAATACTGGTACAATGTGGCAAAACTACGCTTCTGATGCAGAGAACTTTACAGTCAGGATCCTTTAAAATTATCCTCTTTACTGCCTTCAGACAAATCACACAGTATTACCTTAAAAATAAGCAGTCCCAACTTTCATTGCAAGTTGGTGACAGAAGCACAACTTTCATATACAGATTAAGAGTTTATAACCCAAACAGAGGCATTTTACTTTTAAAAAAAGGGCCATTACGCAAACAGATGGAGCTTTTCATGCTTTGAGGACTGCAAAGGGAGATCTACTGTCTGATGCACTAGAATACACAGCTGAGGACCCCCATGCTTCCAGAAAAGCCCGATGACTTCTTGTTCTAGAGATCTGAACGCTACCGTTGTGCTTTTTGTGAGCCTCTGACTTCCTGATGAGGCAGTTTATGCACCAAAGTATAAGCTAAATAGATGTCTGTACTACACTAAAGCCTTTTCACATAGCATACTCTATCATCTTGCAAAAACAGAGTTACAGTTACATTTAAAGCCTTTTCTTGGTTTAGACAACACAAGTATTTCACAGTCCTACAAGAAATTCCCTTTGGTATGATTTTGTTAGGTAACGATGACAGTTTCAAGGCATCTAAAAATGAGAAGCGATTCACACTTCTTACAAACAAGAAGGATTTATTATAGTATGCACTTTGAATATCTCTTCCTATTTTAGGTGGAAGGGCAGCCCGCAGACACACTGCCTGTTCTCAGATTTCCACCACATCACTCAACCATCTTTCAACTTCTCACTGAAAAACACTGCAACCGAGGAGGCTTTCAGAAAAGAGGCTGAAAACAATACAACACTAGAAGGGAAAAGCGATGGCATGCAGAGCACTTACCAGTATCTTTTTGTCCTTTCAGTATTTCCGCACAGTAGAGAAGAAAAAAACCCAACCTCTTCAATCTTGTTTAAAACCAGCTGAAATCCACCAACTCCTTTAAACCCCCAGCAACTGCCAGACTGAGTGTCTCAGCTCCGTGTGCTTTTACTTAAGCCGTGGGTAGTGCCTTCTGACTACAGAGGGGCTGGCTCTGCCTTGCGTAAGCTAGGTAAACACCACCGCACCACGCACCATTGGCTGGAGTCAGAGCCGGCATCCTGCTTGCCGCTCCATAAATTCATCCATCTCTGTCCCCAAAAAGGAAAAAAGGAAGCAGAGGGTGTGTTGAGAACAACTCTGCAGCCCAACTCCCTGGCAGCTCTGCGGATGAGCTTCTCAGAGAAACGCTTATGTATTTCCTTCTCTGCTTCTCTTACATAACTGTACCCGTGCATGCTATACCTTTTCTTCCCTTTTTTTAATCATCACTTATTAGCCCAGCTAGCTTTCCTCACCTCCCACACAAAAAGTGATTTCTTAATATAATGAGAATTAAACCAGCAGAGACTCTTCAGGCATTGCTATCCCTGTTTTCACTAGTGCTGTAGAACTGAACACACGACGCACCTGCAGACACCCACCACCTGTGTATACTGGACTCCCATAGCCAACAATGCTCTAACAGCTCATTCCTGTAGGAAGCACGTTTAGAAAGGCAAATCTGCATGTGCCAGACCAGGTTCTGAGCTCATTTCTTATTCCACTAACATCAAAATCACCACATCAAGCCAGTAGGTGGGATCATTGAAATGCCTGAGCCATAAAACAGTGATCAAGCTACTACAGCTTCCAAGTTACCGCCTCTCAGAATTGATCATGCAAATGCTCCGAGGCTGCTGCAAGCATGATACAACACAGTAGCTTAACCTTTACATCAAGTTTTACATCACAGTTGTGGCGGGCCAAGAAGGTGTGCATGGATGGTTACCCTGGCTCAAGCAATGCGTACTCGGGCTGACATTTGACATCTCCAAGTTTTACAGGTGACCATTGCTCTGGCTTCTGCTGCTCCTTCCTCAGCAGCTTGCCACCTCAGTTTTGCCAGCACAACTTTATGGACTGGTTTCCTTGATCTGTCCATGTTTTTAAAAGCTGGTTTACCTGCTCAGTAGTTTTACAGCTGGATCCCTTTCCCGGTTCAGCGCACGGCACAGCCGTGCAGTCGTACCAGTAGAACCAAAGGCAGGGAGAGCAGGCACGCTACTCGGCAGTACTCAAAGCTAAGTAGGCACTGTGTAACGAGCTTTTTGTTCATAATGCCGTAACACAGCATAAATTGCAACTCCACGTAAGTCATCTTCACTGCTGAGAACTGCAAACCTGTTTTCTCTCTCGTTGACCTGTACACTCACTCCATAGCCAACATTCCCCCATGTAATACCACAAGGTTGCCCTGTTACAGGATCTTGTCACCTACCTGAAAAACTCAACTGCAGAACACCTTGCCATAAGATATTCTGGATAACAAAACTGTACATCAGCTTAAAGACACTTTTTTTCCTCTCCTATCATAGGTTACTTAGCACAAAGATACCACTTTGCTCCACAGGAGTGATTGAGCCACAACTGCTGAACACAGAGATGCTTGGAGAAACATCAATGTACAGGTCCTCCCTTGTTTGCACTCTTCTTCAGGCCACTGAAAAAGACATGCTACTGAATACTGAACTGAGATGATATGGTCATTATCACAGCTGCCAGATTACTAAACTGACAAAGGGCTTAGGGAAAAACCAAAAAACACACAAACCCCAACTATTTTAACCCAAATCATTTTGCTAATCTGTTTGTGGGTTTATTCTGTAAACTCACTATACCAATGCAAGTGAGGGAACAGGAACCTTCTGAACCAATCTCATCAGTAAAGCCAGAGATTCATCAAGCCACATCTTGAGATTGAAGTTGAGCTCTCCTTCCTTGCAAAACAATCAACGGCCTCACTTTACTGGCACATCACAGAATCACTTCTGCCTCTTCCGTTCTTCCTCTTCCTTCCTAATTCTTTCCTCTCTGCGCACTCGCTGCCGGGCATTCTCCACCTTGTTCCAGGCCATCAGGTGCCGGTGCTCCTCCATCAGCTCCACCGAGTCCTCCCGGGACAGCAACGCCTCCTGCTTCTTCTGCAGCACCTCGGCCCTGAACTCAGCCCTGCCGAGGGGAGGGGAAGGGAGGTCGCTGAGCGCTCCCGAACCTGCCCCACAGCACA